TATATATATATATATATATATACACACATATATTTAATTAATTTTTTTGATATATATTTTACATGAAATTATTTTTATATGAATATAAAAAAAATAAAAGAAAATAAAAAAAAGTTTTATATTAATAATATTTTTATAGTACCAGAAGAATTTCAATTTGATCCTGTAACAAAATCATATGGAGATCCATCAAGAAGACCAGAAGTAAAAACTAGTACAATTGAATTTATTGCATCTAGTGAATATATGGTAACTATATGTTAATATATGGTAAAAATAATAAATAAGGAATAAAATTTATAGAAACATAAAAAAGTTAAAAAAACATTTTAAATATATTTAAATATAATACATAAATTGCATAGGAATTAAAATTCTTATTATAATAATTATAATAATTATTAATAAATTACTTTTGTTTATATTTATAAATTACTTTTGTTTATTAAAAATATTTTAAATTAATAAATATTTCTTTTAAAAACCGTTAAGATTTATCAAATTGAAATGAAAAATTAAAAGTATTTAAAATTAAATAAAATAATAAATATGTTTAAGCTACGTCCACCACAGCCAGCTGTGTATTTGTTTGTTTTGGACGTTTCGAGATTAGCAGTAGAGAGTGGTTACTTGAACACAGTCTGCAACGTAATTTCAGAAGAATTATTAAGACTGCCAGGTGATAGTAGAACACAAATAGGATTTTTAGCAGTAGATTCTGCTATACACTTCTTTGGCATACCTGACAATGTATCACAACCTCAGGAAATGATTATGCTTGATATCGATGGTAAAATTATGTCCATTTTTTAACTTTACATATTACATTTTAATAATTATTTACATATTATTTTTATATTTTTATATTAATCATAAACAATATTTATACAGATGTATTTCTTCCATGCCCGGAGAATTTAATTGTCAATTTAAAAGAACGAGAAGAATTAGTAAAAGATTTATTAACTCAGTTACCCATAAAATTTCAAGGAACTCATGACACAAATAGTGCATTGGGTGCAGCCCTGCAAGCTGCATATAAACTTATGGTATGTAAAAAATATAATTATTTTATGGCGCTATAACAGAGTGAAATATGAAAAAAAAGATAGAAAATATTGACTTATTATCAGTATTCATCAGTCTTAGATTTATTGTCGANATCTTTCTAATGCCTCTAATGCAAATAGAAAATATTGCAATTTATTCAAAGAAATTATATTTTGGATCAGTATCATTTAGTTGTCTGTATAAATAAAATGGCGAGCAATCATAGATAACGAGTAATCAAACACTATAAATAATATAGCAAAATTGATTCAGGATTTAAAGTATCAAACTTAC